TCTGGAAGAGCCTGCATTATCCCTTTCTGGGCTCAGCTCACTCCAACCACTTTTGTTTCAATATAAGCAGAAAGTGGTACAGCTAAGACTCTAGAAAATAAAGGTGAGAGTCTAGAGATAAAGTTTCAGGGCTTCAGGGCTTAGAGGCTTGCGAGATAGGAGCCAGACAGAGCTGGTTCTGATGCGGCTTTTATTGTGCATCCTTAACCTCTATGGGCCTCAGTTTCCATATGTACAATATAGAGGAGTAATCAGTTCCTTCCCTGTGTTACAGGCATGGCTGTTGAGAAGACTTACTGAGCACATGGATGTGAAAGCACTTTGAAACCTGGCAAAGGCATGCTGAGGGATTATTGAGTCATATAATAATAATGACAATAACTGAGAGGTTGCAGCAGCCTGGAGCCAGGCCCCTGGGGCTAATGACAGTGAAGTGAGCCTTAAGTAGAGATGGGCGCTGCCTCTCTGACTACAGTTCTGGGGCTAGCCCCACTCTTGGAGCTCCCTCAGGATTGCTAGAAAGGGGTTCTTCCTAATCCACAGAAGGGGAAACTGAGGCCAAAAGAGGTTGAGGACCTATCCTAAGCCACTGAGCTACAGATCCAGGAACAAGAGGTCCATTGGGCTAGAGCCATTATGGCCTTGGTTTTCCCCTCCTCTGGATGAGAACAGCCCAGAGCTGGAGTCCAAGAGACCATGGAAGCAGAAAGCCCCACTTCATTGTGGTACAGTGGGAACTAAGGCCCCCGGGCCCCATTATCCCTCCTCCTGTGCAGGCCCCTCTTCGCTCCCCGCTCCCTGCAAGTCCTCCCACATTCCTTCAGGCAACAGGAAACCCCAGCTGCAGCCCAGACTTCAAACAGCTCCTCCCTCTGGGCAGGGGGCGTGGGAGGAGAGGCCAGAGGCCAGAGGGCAAAGGTCAGCTTTGTTCCTGCCGGAGGTGGTGAGGGACCCGGGGGAGACAGAGGGGGGCAGGGCAGGGCCCTTGACAGCCACACTGCGTGTGTGTGTGTGTGTGTGTGTGTGTGTGTGAGAGAGAGAGAGAGAGAGAGAGAGAGAGAGAGAGAGAGAGAATTCCTGTATCCATCAGGGTGACTGTGGTTCTGTCAGTCTGTGCCTGGGAGTGAATGCGTGTCTTTGGTTTCCTGTCGACTCGTGGACCTGAATTATGTGTCTGAGTGTATATCAGCATGTTTGTTTATCTTTGGGTGCTCAGCCTGGGATTCCACCGACATGTCTGCAGGTATCATCATGTATCTGGTTCACAGGCCTACTCAAAGCTATGTGTCCTGGTGTGGTGTTTTGTATCCAAGAGAGGTAACCCTCTCTTACCTCTCCCCTTCCCATTCTTCCTTGACCAGAGAGTTACTTCTAGAAAGTGAATCCGACTTTGTTATTCCCCTGCTAAAACCCCTCAGTGCTTTGCATGGTCCAAAGCTTAGACTCCTAGCCTGAGTGCATGGCAGACAAGACCCACACCTACCTAAAGATAAAGACTCACCATCTTTATCTTTAGCCACTGACTCCCCTCTATCCAATTTTTCACTCCGGTCACACCTACCTAATTGTAACTACCTGAATGGTCCCATTTTCTGCCTCTGAGGTCACTTAACTCTGTGGAATGCCCTTCTCTTTCTTCTTTATCAAGCACTTTTACTCTTTTTGGAAGTCTCCAATAAAGCAAAATTTCCACTGAGAAGGCTTCCAGATTTTCCTCTGTCGACTGAGTTAGGACCCTCCCCTATTCACTCATATTTTCTGCCTATGTCTGTCCACTTTACCCTCATCACCATTACTGTGAGCTCTGAGAGCAGGAACTGTACTGTATCTCCCGTTCTATGGGATGGGAAAATTATGAAGGGACCTACCTACTCGTATCCCAGAAGAAACGTTCCTGCTGCAGTTTTAAATGTAGTACTGAGAATCACCACTAGATGGTGTGTGGACATCACTGCAAGACCATCGCGCGCGCGGGAGGTTGTGTGTGTGTGGGGGTGTGTGTGTGTGTGTGTGTGTGTGTGTGTGTGTGGGGTGCGTGTGTGTGTGTGTGTGTGTGTAGGGTGGTATCCAAGAGAGACTACCCCTCAGTAGGTCCTAGGCCCCCCAGATATCTGAGTTTTCTCCACAATTCATGAGACTTGTCCCTTGGTTTTCCGACACTCCTAACTCTTGCCTCTGACCTTCCAACCTTCTTCCACGCCTTAACTGCACTCTCAATCCTCCCATACATAATTGGTTGCACTTGCCTGTCTTAGCTTTGCTCTACCATACCTCTGGGCCTTTGCATGTGCTAGTTCCTCAGTGGAAAATGGTATCGCCCTCTGGCTGCTTCATCAGGCAGACTTTTCTTTTACATCCTCCAAGAAATCTTCCTTGGCCTTCAGACTGACCTTTGCCCCTAAGTGTTGTAATTGTTTACTATTCTGCCTCCTGGGCAGGACCAGCTTACAGGAAACATCAGTAAATGTGAAATTAATAAATGACTTGGTTATTTTACAAATACAAACTTCAGCACATATGGGGCTACCCCAGACCCATATCTGCTTTGGGTTAGTATTATACTTTCCCATGCTGCTCCATCAACTAAGGGAATGTGACATGGTGGGATGCATGAGACTTTGAGTCACATAAACCTGGGTTCAAATTCTGACTCTCCTATCCAGCTATTTGACCTTGTGTAAGTGTCGAAGCCTCTCAGAATCTTTGTTTCCTCTTTTATAAAACGGAATAATCACACTTTTGCACTGTCTCGGGAGGATCATATTAGATGATGCATGTGAAGCATCTAGCATTAGTCAATTAGGTGTCTTCCTCCCCTACCATGAACTTGGAAATAAAATTGCCCTCTGAGTCTTAAGTCAGTAAAATCTACACATCACAGAGAAGAGCCAGGTGGGGGAGTGAATGAGGCGAGAGATGGTTTTGTAAACGACTGAAGGGTTTTGTGAACAGTGGAAACCGCAATCAAGGTGACCCGCCTGTAATCTCAAGGAAGCAGGGCGGGGATGTGATTGAAATTGAGAAAACAGAGGCCTAATCAATTGCATTGTGCTCTATCTGAAGGGAACAGAAGGATGCACAGAAAAGGGGGTGCAAAGGAGAATTTATTCAGCTGCACCAGAGGGAGGGACAGGGAAGCAGTAGATACAGTGATTCCGAGCTCAGGCAGCTCTGGTCTCTGCTGAGCAGCGAGGGCCCAGTGAATTCCAGGTGGTTCACTGCCCTGCTGGGCCTTCATGTAAACTTAGTGGGTGTCTAGGTACCAGGAAGAATCCCATCAGGCAGATAAAATCATTTTGGTCCCAGGAAAAGGCTGTAGAGAGTAAGAGCACTGATTTTGGAATCAGAGGACCTGGTTCAAGCTCCTGCTCTGCCACTTATGTTCTATAACCTATTTACTTCACTGTACTTCAGTTTCCCTATTAGTCAAATGAAGATACAACAGCCTTCTCCTCATAGGGTTCTGTGAGAATTAAATGGCAGCATGCACTTAGCAGGATACCTGGCATAGAGTAAATAATTTGTAAAAGGTGGTGACAGAGAGCTAACATGTTTTGAGCATTTTATTGCCATTTCATAGATAAGGAAATTGAGGCTTGGAGAAATTAATAACTTGGACAGAATCACACAGCTCGCAAGCGGTGGAGGCAAGGTTCACACCAGGCAGTACAGCTCTAGAACTGTGCTCTTCTCTGCTTACCCCGTGGCAGATGGAAACCCTGGACCTCTGGCTTATATATCAGAATCCTATGAGTTTGGTCGGCCAGAGATAATGGCCCTGAGGAAGCCTTGGTCCCTGAGAGTTTGAATGTGCAGAGTTAAGGCTCCCAATTCTGTGACCATATCTGTAAGCATCCACTTGGCCTCTCTCCATCTTATTGCTCTCACTCAGCAGATCCCAGCATGGGAAATTCTCAATCTATATTGGCCACCTTGCCCCCTTTCCTTTAGGTCATGCAACTTAGGAGAGTTTCCAAGGAATCTTTCTATCAATTTGTCAAGGGAGAAGGATCTTCCAATCATCTATCTGGGGTAGATAGGATCTCTTCCCAAAGCCCAGAGGTAGTGAGGTCTGGTAGAAAAATCATGGGCCTTGTTGTGAAACCTGGGTTCAAATCCCAGCTTTGTCACATATATCCATGTGACCCCTGAGCCTGTTTCCTCATCTGCGAATGGTGGCTAATCATAGAACCAAACTCAGGACTGGATTATTAATAGATGTAAATACATCTGGCATTCGGCAGACATTACTATTATTTCTCTCCAGCAATGACTGTGAACTCCTCCAGGACAGGGATTGGTCTTGTTCATGTTTGTGTTGCTGGGGTCCTGCCTAGCAAAGGGCCCTTCATAGAGTTAATACATAGTAATTGTTTGCCAATTGCAGGAGTGATTCCTTGCTCCCAGCCTCTTTCCCCATCCACCCCCTTAGTAAGTCAGGGGGTCAACAATTTCCTGATGGGAGAGGTGAGAACTCTTATTCTCTCTTCCTCTTGTTTCCACATGGAGGCACACCTGCTGCCAGAGTTTCTCAAAGGGGAAGCTGGGAGTGGGACAATTCCTCATTGCACAGGTGCATGGCAGGTTGTTCAGCACCTCCAATCCCTCCCTACTCCATGCCAATAGGAGCCCCCAGTTGTTGTGACAAACTGAAATCACATAAAGACTTAGCAATCCACTGCACACAGACTAAGAGGACATCAGTAATGAAGGGGACATTTTGATCTCCAGTTGCCTGTCTTCTGTATTCATCTCTCAACTCATCCTAAACTCCCATGGGGAAGAGCATCATTTTGGGGTGTCCTAAAACACCCCTTGGGTGCCTCATGCTCAGTAGGCATTAGGGCACTTCTCTCACGTTCCCAAAGCAGCCCCACTCACTTCCCACTGACCACCATCCTGACCAAAGGAAGGGATTTTCTTGACTCAAGGATTCATATTATCATTTTTCTTATTTACAAAATCAAAAAACAGACACATGATTCAGAGAGGGGGTGAGCCCTCAGCAACCCTCCCCCCCAGTCCCTGGACTTGGACCCCAGTTCTGGACTACAGCATTCAACAAAGTCTTTCCTTATCTTTGCAACTTACAGACATAAGATAAGGGGTGAATTCTGGGGTCCCGGACCCAGGGTGGGATGATGGGGTAGTAAAGCAGGGATGAGAGATAAGTGAGGGAAAGGATATACAGTTTTATAAATAACTAGAGAGGGTATGAGCATTTCTTTTTTTGGAGGAGGGAACAAGGAGACTAGACACAGGTAGTGGCCTAAGTTGGAAGGAGAGAAATAGTGCTTGAGGCTAGAGGGAGTGAGGAATGATCTCTGAGCCTCAGTTTGCCCATCTTTAAATAAGTGAGTTGTCCTCGGTGATATCAGAGTAACCTGCTTGCTCTGACATGCTAGGACTCTATAGGGTCCTAAGCCTGGGGACTGTGGGACCAGAGCCCTGGGGATTAGAAAGGGCTGGTGGGCAGAGAGGTGGCTGATGCCTAAATAGGCTATGTCTGATCTCCAGGCTGATACTGGGGTTCTGTGGATGTGAAGAAATCTTCCAGGAAGGATTGCAGGTACTCGAAGGTAGGTCTCTCCTCTGGGTCCAGACGCCAGGTCTGCAACATGGCCTCATACAGGGATGCTGGGCAGCCTGAGGGGCACGGCATATGGTAGCCACGTTCCACCTGTTCCAACACTTCCCGGCTATTCATGCCTGGAGGGGGAGACTTCATCAGTCACGGGGCTTAGCTCCTTCCAAAGAGGCAGCCAGAAGAAAGTCCTTCTCCATGACCACCCTTCCATCTCCCCATTCCTCTACAAACCTGGGTAAGGGACTCGGCCCTTGCTCATGAGTTCAGTGAGCAGGATCCCAAACGACCACACATCTGACTTGATAGTGAATCTGCCATAAAGGGCAGCCTCTGGGGCTGTCCACTTGATGGGGAACTTGGCCCCTGGAGAGATTGGGAGAGAAGGGAAAGTTAGTGAGGAGGAACAGCTGGATTTAAAAAATGGCATCTTTAGGATTGGGGACCCTGAGCATAACAGAAAGGACCACTATCAAGCCAGCACTTACTATGTGGCTAGTATAGTGCTGGACACTTTATAAACATTGTAATAATTCTCATAATAATAACATCTAACATTTATATGGTAAGTCCTCTCTCAATGTCACTAGGTTCTTGGAAAGTGTGACTTTAAGTGAAACGATGTACAATGAAACCAATTTTACCCTAGACTAATAATAGATATAAATAGGAGTGAAGTTCCTGCAGCATATTTCTGGGTACAAAATCATTACCAAACTTCTAAATAAAGATCCAAAACACTTCTAATAGTAAACATTGAAATAAATGTGAGCTATACATACATTAAAGAAAGACGAATAAAAACAAGTAAGATAATTATTTTCCAACCCACTTATTCCAGTTCAGGGTAGAGGTGGCCTAAGCTTCTCCTGGCTGCTCAAGGCCCAAGGTGGGACCCCCATCTTGAACTGGATACCCTTCCATCTCAGGGCCACTCACACCCACATTCTTAGACTGGGCCAATGTAGACACGCTCATTCGCCTCACGTGCACAGCTCTGGGATTAGGGAGGAAATGGGAGAAAACCCATGCAGACACGGGGAGAACATGCCAACACCACACAGACAGTGACCCCAGTGGGAAATCAAATTTTTCGCTTGTCAATGTTATAACAAAACGATGTTGAACAAAGCGACATTATCTGAGGACCTGCTGTATAGCCTTTACTACATGCCGGGCATTATTTTAAGTGATTTACATGCATTAATTCATCTAACTCTCACGAAAATTCCATGAGGTACATGTTACTATTATCTCCATTGTACAGATGAGGAAAAGGAGGCACTGAGTAGTTGAGTAACTTGCATAGGTCACACAGCGTATGTAAGTACTTAGAATTCATACCTAGGCATTCTGGCTAGAGTTCATGCTATCATACTTTATGGTCTTTCCCTTGAGAATTATAGCAGTACTTGGCACACAGTGGGTACTTGATAAATATTTGTTGGCTGAATATTTTCATTTTACAGATGAGAAAAGACAGCTCACAGAAGTTAGGTGACACCCAAGGCCACATAGCTGGTAAGTGGAGGAGCCGGGATTCGAACCCAGAGTTGACTACTACACTTCATCAGGATCGGAGTGTGCCAGATGGTTTGGGGTGGGGAAGGGTTCCTGAGTATGTAGGGCCCCATGGTGGGGTGAGGCAGGGCACCTTGCTGAGGGTTGTACTCATCATCCTCGATGAGGCGAGCCAGGCCGAAATCAGCGATCTTGCACACCAGCTGCTCCCCCACAAGGATATTGGCTGCCCGCAGGTCGCGGTGGATGTAGTTCATGCGCTCCATGTAGGCCATTCCCCCAGCCACCTGAGGGCCAAGGTATGGAGAGATGGGAAGACCATGGCTTGTTTGACAGATCATTTGAAAAACCAACTTTCCAGATGAGGAGATTGAGGCTCAGAGACTGGCTCAGTGCCCTGCCTCAAGGTTGCACAGCAGTGGGTGCGGCAGCACGTCCAGGGGGGTAGGGTGGATGTTTGAGGACACAGAGATTTGTGGGAGGTTAATAAGAGAGGGGCCTGAGAGGTGAAGGCTGCTGTCCCAGTTTACCTGGGCTGCCATGTCCACCAATTGGGACAACGTCAAATCCTGGCCCTCCCGGCGCCTGAGGAACTCCAACAAGCTACCTGAGGAGAGGAACCCAGAAAATCATCATCAAGACCCTACCCCTAGCTCCAGGCCAGCCTTCTCTTCCTCAGCCTCGCCTCTATCCAGAACCCGGCTCCTAGAGCTCGGCCCCGCCCCCTGTTCCCAGCCCTCTCGTTTTGATCCACCACCACTCAGGATCCCGCCAGGTGCCTCGACGTCTCACAGATCTCGCCCAGGCACCGCTGCCACAGATACCCCGATTCTGTCCACAACTCGTTTCTTCTCTGCCTCGATCACTCCTCCCAGACACGCCCCATTCAGACTCCACCCCAGGCCCTTCCCCATCAGATCCTGCTTTCGCAAGCCCCACCCACGAGCTGACTATCCCAACGCTAGAGACTCCGAGCCCAAAACCTGACACGGCCGGGTCTAACTTGGCCCCACTCCCAGCACTCACGCAGTCTCACTCTTCCAGACCCTTATTGGGACTCGGTTCAACGTCTCCCGTCCCATAACAGATTGCCACCGAGGTACCTCCCCCAGACACCCACTTTAACTTCGCCCGAAGTCCCACCCCCCAGATTCCACCTCCCGACCCCGCCCCTCACCGTGGCTCATGAACTCGGTCACGATGTAGATGGGCTCCTCCGACACCACGGCGTACAGCTGCACCAGCTTGTCGTGTCGCAGCAGCTTCATGATCTGCGCTTCCTCCAGGAAGGCCTTCGGGGACATGGTACCCGGCTTCAGCGTCTTCACCGCCACCTTTGTGCTGCCGTTCCACGTGCCTGCCGGGCGCCGGCGGCTTGTCAGAACCGGCTTGCTGACAGCCCAAGCCCTCGCGCCGGCCCCGGGCCCCGGCCCCGGCCCCTGGGACTTCCGTACCCAGCCACACATCCCCGAAGCAGCCGGTGCCCAGCCGGCGCTCGAGCGCGATGGAACTGCGGCTGATCTCCCAGGCGTCCTTGGCCAGGCCCAGCGTTTGCGGCTTCATGGTGGTGCAGGCCGCAGTGAGCAGGTGGCACAGCCCGTCGTTCACCTCTGGGGAGCGGGGTGTTGGAAGTCACAGGTGGGCCAGGACAGCCCCATACATTCCTTATCCCACTCTAGCCTTCAAGAACAGTTATAAGGAACTAGGCCACAGGCGAGCCCACAGGCCAGGGTAGAAGGGAACCCCGCCCACTGAGTAGGTGAACATGTTGGTGCCCAAGGAAGAAAGTGGCACCAAGAGGGAGAGATAATCCCTATAAGGATTGGGGGCCTTCCCATAGGAGGTGGCCTCCATATGGCCCTCCAAGAAGAACATGGGATTCTGACAGGTGGAAATGGAGTTGAGGATTCCAGACAAAGATGTAGACATGCGGCTTTCGCCCTTCCATGCATCTCATTCTTGCCCTAACCAACCAAAGCAGAAACCCGGGCATGATTCCCACCTTCCCTTCAACCCTCACAGCCCATCCAGGTCTCTCCTATTCTGCCTCCTACCCAGCTCAGACATTAGGGGGCACCATTTGGCCATAGATAGCCTCAGGCCTCAGTTTCCTCTGGAATCCTACAGAGCAGTGTCCTGGGTGAAGAGACTTGGGTTCTAGCCCGGGACAGCCACTCCTGTTTTGGGAGAACCTTCCCTCCTCTGGGCCTCAGTCTCAGCAGGACCCATGCTCACCAATGTAGTGCTGCACCAGCTCCTGCACGGAGTCAAACTGGGCCCGTGTGGTGATGTAGTAGCCACCTGTGTCCAGCTTGCGGATCTTGTAATGCTTCACGTGATCTCCTCTGGACTGGTTCCAATCCCGAATGGACAGGGAGTATGCGCCTGTGGGGAAGGGTCATCTTTGGACCTGCTTTTTTCCTCGCTCCCAGTCTGGAAACCAGGAGATGCCCAAAAAGCTAGGGACTCTGAAGGTGAACAGCCACATCCCTTGAACCCAGTCCCGGTCTTAGCTCTGCCCCTCTACCCTGTCCCAGTCTTGGCCCTGACACAAGCCCCACCCCACCACTCCTAGCCCCACCCTATAGGCTAGGCTGTCCCTGTCCAGGGCCAGTCATGGTGCAGTCCCTACCTTTGGTGGTCTCGCTCTCCCGAATGAGAAAGGCTCCCTGGGGATTGCCTGGGGAGAGCAGCTGCCTCTCTGCATCCTTTCTCCCAATCTTTCCAAAGTACCACCTGTTGGGAAGAGCCAAGAAGAATCAGGTATATCTGGTTCAACCCCCAACTCAGCCTCCTGGGAAAAGTCACCTCACAATCCAAGATTCAATGTCATCACTCTTAAAAGGGGACTCATACCTGCTTCACAGCCTGGTGTTGAGGATCATAGAGAAGGGAAATTAGAACGCCTGGCACATAGTAGGTGCCCAATAAAGGTTAGACTTCTCATTTCCACTCTTTGGGTTTCCTCTTGAACTAAAATTGCTAGAAACCCACTACCAGTTACCTCATCAGGGTGCCACCAGTCTATTAGTCCATCTCATTACTGGCCCTCCATGAGTTCATTTTACAGATGAGGAACTTGAGGCTGGGAGAAGGGAAGCTCATCAAGCTAGCTGATGAGCTCTATTTTGAAATCGTTTGCCACCCACCCTAGTTTTTTTCCCATCACCCCAGGCAATCACTCAGATCTCTCTCACCACACCCACCCCAAAACCCTTTCCTCCTTTGGTTTCCAGAATGACACCTTTTCCTGCTTCTCTTCCCTTCTTTCTGACTGCTCCTGGCAGACTCTGACTGCTGCTTCTCCTTCACTCTCTTAAATTTGA